CATTCCAGCAGGGCCAGACCATGGCCACCCACTCAAGAAACCTCTCACTAAGAAGAAGCAAGAGCCTGAGCACGCAGGCTAATGAGCATGAGAAGTGAGAGGCTCATTATGGACAGAACTAGGGAATTTACAGGCAATGAACACTAATTACTTTCTTTGCTCAAATATATAAATACTAAGACGCTCTGGATTCTCGTGGTGCTGGCTTTGTGACTTTGTCCCTGAGCCCCCCTTTCTGCACAGAACTGTAAATAATTACCTCCACTTACTGGGTGGATCGGCCTCTTGAACAACGGGTGCTGGAACCAGCCAAGCTGGAACAACCCTCACTGTGCCTCCGCTCTCACTGTAGCCGCCGAAGGCTCTGAGCAGTCCTGCCCTGTGCCGGTGACAATGGCCACGTGTCCTTCGAAACGGGGAGTTCCATGTGCCAGGCTGGCCGCGATGTCACTGAGGAGCGGGACGTGACACAGTGGGGATTTCACAATGGGCACAGGTAGGGAATGCTCTGCCCTGTCCCATCACTGATTCTGCTCATTCCCAAGTGCAGAAAGGGGCACCCCACCAAGCCCAGTAGCTTTGCGAACCAGGGCTAATGAAGTGTTTCTGCACAGAAGTGCTGCACTTGGCTCTCTCTGAGGCAAAGGAGCAGCTGAACACCTCTCACCAGGGCAGCAAGGTGCAGCCCTGACAGCTCTGGGCAATCCTGTCGTGGGCCCCTCAGTCTGTGAGGCTTCCAGCACGTACACGGGCACTCATATATCATCTCTTTGACACAACCCCCCGACCTTTCCTCATCCCAGCCTCCTTAAAGGAAAGAAGCCAGCAGCATGCCCAGGCCCCCTGGCTGCTCTGCAGCAGGAGCTGACATGGAAAGACCAGGGAGGACCATGAACACAATTCCAGGCTGACTCCAGGTGGCCATTGAAATTTTTGACGCATCTGGAAAAATATTTTACACTCAGCTTAGGATGCTTTGGTTTTCATATCCCCCATACCCAAGCTTACTCCTGATTTCAGTCAGCTGGCACCAATGAAACCCTTGTCCAGTCATTACAGGCAGAGGTAATAAAAGCATGGCATTGAAAATGGCTTGAATATTACCATCCAAAGCTCATTTACAATATCGCAAAATCTTGTCTTTGTCTTCAGTACCATGTCCATATCTGCCCATGTCTCATCTGGCTGCCACACTCACAAGGACAGTGTAGTTGGGTAGAGAAAGGAAGGAAGCAAATTGGAAAACACCAGAACTTACATGTATAAAAGAACTGTGTCCCTTTTTGGGAATGACTGGATTGTGTTTATAATGGATACCCAGTAATGCACTGTGGGAAAAGCCTTTGTATGAATCATGAAATCAATCCAAGGAGGTGTTTCACTGGACTCTGGAATGTCAGACAGCCTTTCCATATCTTAAAAAGACATTGATGACAGTCCCTGCTCTGCAGTTACCAGATTTGACTGGTAACCTTTTACACTGTTCCTACATGAGTGCCTTTGCCTTGTACATTAGCCCTGTATTTAGCTCAAAGACTGGGAATGCTGGAAAAGAACCCTTTGAAAAAGATTGTATTTCTTAAAACAGAACTAACCATTGTACTTGAAGGATGGCCAATGCACCTCAGAGCAGGAGCCACCATGTTCCTGATTGATAGAATCGGCTTGAAAATACATGGGAAAAAATATATCAGTTTAAGTGCTGCACTGTTTGTGTCTGGTGTAGAGCAAAAAGGAGCTCACTGGTTTTCCTAAATTAACAGGGGCTACTCCTGGAACAAAAGACATGGTGCTAAGAACAGCTACTGCCTTGAACCCTTCCATGTTCCTCAATCCTTCTGCAAGGAATCAGCATCTCCAATCAAACAGGGACAGCTTTGGGAGCGTCCAGTTCCCTGCTGAAGTTGCAATAATGCACTGCAAAGCTCAGCAGTTCAGACAAGCCCAGGAGACTGATGAGCAGACCAAACTGCTAGAGAGGTGGCAGAACAAAGCATCTGCTTGGCAATTCTTTCAAAAGCTGTGAACCTTTCCAAATCAGACACAAAACAGCATGATGAAAATAATCATTCCACAAAATCCTTAAATATCTGATTTAGTCCTGGAGGGTGATGGGTAGAAACAAATCAACAAGTTCAAGTTCCTCAAGCAACAATGATTCAAACTAGAGAAGACAAAGATAAAGAAATCCATTGGGGTATTGAAAATACAGTAGACAGTTTGGAAAGGCAACTACTTAGAGTTAGGCTGATAGGGACTGTGATAAGTGAAATGTAAACTCTGCTTATAGATCAATGCACAGTTTTACAAAAGACTGCCCTTCGGGATCCCAAAACAGGGTAGTAGTGCAGAAGATTAATGTCCATTAATCTTCTCAGTTACCTCAGCAAGAAGGATAAAACTACTTAGGTTAATAGACCCATTTTCTGCATGGCCAGAGGCTTTTCCTTGTCACACCAAAGAGAGCTAAAGAAGTACCTCTAGTAACAATAAAGAAATACTACTAAGACTAGGGATTCCTTTTGGAATGTCATCAGATACAGATTCTCATTGCATGAACCAAACAAAATTTATGTGAAACACTCCCAGTTAAATGGGACCTACTTAGCCCATGGAAGTCATGCCCCAGCAGTGAGGCTGAGAGACCAAATCAGAGTCCAAAAACAGAAAGGAGTAAAAATTGCCAGGAAAACTCATTCAAGTGACCACAAGAGCTTCCCCTTGCACTATTGAGGATCGGAATTCCAGTGGCTTCTAAAGAAAAACGTGAGCCATTAGGAAATGCTCTGTGGAAGACAATACCAAATGACAATCCTTTCTAGAGAAAGTCATATGATAGGAAAAGATAATTTAAGTCAGTTTTTCCCATCTTTGTGAAAATTGCTCTCAAGTTTGCACAGGTTTCTGGTGTGAGCATCCCTGATTGCTTTGGATGCTCAGGTATATCCTCATCAACCCAGCAACTGTGTCTTATGTCAGAAAGTACAGCAACAAGGCACTTAAAGAAAAGTGGAAAGGAACTTTCAAGTGTTTTGTGTTTCCAAGCAGCAATTGCTCATGTAGCAATTAAAGGGGATGGGACCAGTACATTGATACACCTTCCCCCAAGAAATGCCAGCCCCAAGACAAAAGGAACTGGATGGGAAAATATAGACAGGAATTTGAAGCCTCAATTTGTTAAAGCAGGAAAATAAAACCTTTTTATGCAGTGTAGAATTAGTTAGAAGAAATGTCATAAAAGGAAAGATGAGCCATGAAGGTATAATTATGAAAAATCCTCAGTCTCTGCCCACCCTCACCAGCAGCACTCCTGCACGCTCTGTCACCCAGCAGCAGCCCCCAGGCCAAGGGGAGGCTCCCCAGCACAATTCACCCCATGTCCCCCACGGCAGCGTTCCTGGGGCTGCTGCACTGCAGAGCTGTAGGAGCAACCCCTGCCCCAGGCAAAAAAGCACCCAAGTCTCAGGGTTTAAGAGGTGACATTTTGTGGAACTTCCCTTGAAGGAGAACAGAAGGGCAACAATGGCTCAGCTGATCAATCACAAAACACCCCAAGATCTGTCAGGAGTGGGACTCAACATCACTGGCCCTGAGGCCATTGAGGAATTTGCAGAATACTCTCTAAGGAAGAAAAGGGCATTCACAGCCACCTTTGAGTGTTCCCAAATATTGCCCTCCCTCCTTCAATTTCATATCCTTTCCCAAAAGAAAGTTACCACCTTGTTGGTTACATGTCTTCCTTTTCAGCGAAATAAATAAATGGCAGGAAATTTAGGAAAAAGACTAGACTTTAAAGTCCCCATAGGTGTGTGCAGGAATCAGCCTCTCGAACTCTCTAGAAAGGCTGGTTGTGACAGACTAGTTAGGACAAAGCTACAAAACTCATAGAGGTCCTTTGGGGACACTTGAACCCCATTTCTCTTTAAAACCCATTGAAATACCTTGCCTCCAACACTTCTCCATGTGTTTTACGAAACTCTTGCAGGCAGAAAAGACATTTCTGTGCTGTTCATCTGAGCCAGCAAAGGCTTCTTGAAGATAAGGAAGCCTCATATCTCTCTTGAGGAATCACCAAGGCTATCACCATGACAATGTGAAGAAAGAGAGAGAAAAAAGTGTAGGCAAAAGATCTGGACTGTGATTGCCTTACACTGTGGCGTGGTTCCTGTCACCTGCAGAAAGCTTTGTATCTTTTTTATGACCGCTGGGCAGTGTATGTGTTGGTTAAGTAAATGTAAACACCTTGTAAAACTGTAAAAGCAACTTCTTCCTTAGATAAATAAATCTAAACAGCCTTCTGAGTGAGTCCTGCTGCTTTGCGCCATGTCGGGCTCAATAGCGACACTTGCAAAGATCTGATATTCCTTGGATCACTGACAAGGTGAGGCCATGATTTACAAGCAGTCCTGAGAGCTGCCTCAGCTGAGACCTTAGAGCAGCCCATGTGCACTCCTCTGTAACCCTCCAGAACAAAGTGATTTGAGGATGGTGTTGTACAAACTTCTAAGTCTTTGACCACTCAGGCAAAAGTTTGCATTAACAAGAAAGGTCAAAAACCAGCCCTATACTTATCCTAAACAATTTCCATTTGCTGCAATATTTTCTCAAAATGTGCACAACTTCATCGTACAGGTAGTGGGCTTCCAGCCTCTACTGATAAATTTATTTCAGTGGACAAACTTAAGACTCGAAGAACAGAATTGACCAGAAGAAACCCACTCCAAATATGATACAAGCAACAATGAGAGAAGGAATTTTCAATAGTGAGATTTCTTTATTGTTGAAGTTCAATACTATCATCTTCCCACCTCTTAAACTAACGAAGCTTCTTTGAATTAATCCTACACTTTTAAGAAATATTTACAGCTCAGTGCTGACAAAATTTATTGCTCAATACTAACTTAAATAATCTGAGAAACCTAATCTTCTAGTTGAAATAAAAAATCCAGGGTTCGCAGAGTTCACCAGGCTGAAGCAGATGTCTGGTGCCAGGACTCCACTCACTGCTGGTCATATTCAGAAATGCGGCTCTGAATATGGGCCAGCTTGTTGTGGAGGTACAGGCACCTGCTCTTCATTTCAGAGTAGCTGGGGCTACCCTGTGAAGGAGAAAGCAAAAGAAAATTGGGGCATGCAAACACTTCTGCAGAGTCTGGAGTCTGATGTCCTTTGCTTTAAAAAAGCCTTGAGGCAGACTCAGCAGTTACCATGGCCCTGCAGCTCTGGTGTCACACGTACCTGTTGTAACTGCTGATACTCTGCTAGGATTCGATGATGCAGCATCTACAAGAGAAAAACATGAGGAATGTTTCACCACCATCGTAAAATGCAAACTTTGGTAAAACACTAAAAGTTCACTCAGTCTTACTCCAGACATTTTCTTCTCTGTCATCTTCCACACCCAGAAGAATGGTCTCTTCTGGGATGTTTGCAAAAACAAATCTCCATCTCCCAGCATCACCCAAGAGATGCAATTAGGCCTCTCAATAGGCAAGAGAAAAAGCCCATGCTCTAACCCTCTGCTTGGGACTCCTCTCCCCTTACTGTTTCTTCATAGAAAGCTCAAACGGGGGCTTTTGGGCAGGGTCTGGAAAAAACAGATCCAGCCCAAGCAGTGTCTGAGCATATATGCCAATTCTGCAGGTTCCGTCCTGACTCACTAAGCAGTGACATTCCTGGGAATCCAAAACACTGCAGTGATGATGAAGCACAGTCTTCCTGGTTTTGTCCTTCTTTACCTGATAGGCTTCAGAGCCGGGACTCAGAGACTTCCATTGCTCCTGAAACTGTCTGTACTTCTTTGTGGTCTTGTCAATCAGAGAATGTAAATTCCGGTATTCCTCATACTCTGCATTGAAGTCATCCTTGTAGCGCTGGTGTTGCTCCAAGAAGACAATGGCTACGTATTTTCTAATGGAAAAAATGAGAACATTTTTCTATGAGTGAAGTCTAAGAGAACATTCCAGTATGTTTCTAGTCCATAAAACACATGTGTTATTTTACACCAAGCACAGGGCAATGTCAAACACAGACACCCAAGCTTTGAGTCAGTTGCTCTGGCACTGACAGTTTCTACTTTCAAGCTCATGTGCTTCAAGAGAATGTAGGCAGGTGGCTCTAGGAATCTGCCACATTTCTAGGTTGTCAATTCCACCTTACTAATAGCTTACATTGTAGAGGTTTTGTTCATTAGCACATGGAGCACATTTAGAAAAGATTTGCCCTCATTTCAAATGTCAGATAAAGAAGAAACACAGCAGCTTCAGGAAAAGGAGATACATCACTAAATTATAATCTCTTCTTATGTAGGAAAAGCTTAATTTAGTTACATTTACTTGTGAAAATACATCTGTAAAAATCCATTTTTGTAATGGAATGCATTTATGCAGTTGAGAGTTGCACAGAGTTGGACTTTTGAGCCACATTCTTGTCTAACAGCAAAGCAGAGTTAATGATAATATAGGATTCTTCAAGCAGACAGCAGTTACATCATCTGACCAAGGAACTGAGGCATTTGTAAAACAGCCACAAAAGCAAACTCTCTATCAGCCTGAAACTACAACTACTACCCAAACAGCATCTGCTCCTAAGGAGGGCAAAATTCATTAAAGCTTAAAGCCACTGATGGGAGTCAAACCTTCTTCATTCCCTTCTCCCTCAAATCAACAGGCGTGAGGTTTATCAAGCTCATGATACAAATCCAAGATGAAGTGGCAATGAGAACAATAGATGCCACTTCTCAACACTCTCACACCATTGCTTCTGCTCTTCTGGGCCTTAAGACCTGGTTCTTTTTGGATCACAAAAACACCTTCCACATTGGAATAAACATTTCAAACCACCCTGAGATTAATATTTACGGGCAGTAAATCCTCAACAAGTTGAAGTTCAGCCCCAGAACAGAGAACAGTTTGTGCCAAGGATGCATCCCAGGCCAGATACACCTGACAAGTGTGCAGGATGAGTTTGAGAAAAAAAACTACAGATGCCTTGCAAGATTTTAGGAGGCACCAGAGCAATCTGACCCAGGGCCCTGCCGCGCCTGCTCCAAAGGCTGCAGCTGCCCCAGAGCCCCAGGGCTGCAGGGGCCCCGACTGCCCTTGCCAACATCCCTGCTCTGACACAGGCTGGGAGCAATTTCCAGTGTTTTGTACCACACACACACGCACTTCTCCCTCCCCTCCTGCGCTGCAAATTCGATGAGGGGATGCAGCACCACTGCTGCAGCTGAGCCTGTGCAACTGCACTGCAGGAAGGGAGGGCCCGTCCGGGCCTAACCCACCTCGGTGTTCATCTCTGCTCTGAGCCTTCCAGGCCCAACTAAACTTGCTCAAACTCATCCTTTCAGCACAGGAAAGAGCTTGACACTGCACCCCACTGACAGGGGCAAGGCTGAATTGTTCTTTTACTCACCTCACATAGTCTGGTTCGTTGCTTATTGCAGAGCATGTGGAGGCAATGGAAGTCTCTTTTCTTGTTCCTACAGAAAAGTAGAATTTTGACACTCTTCATCAGGAGATCATTAAAAGGCCAAAAGATCCCCATTGGACAGTCTTGAAAAAGTCCTTCAGAGCATTCTTCTCACAGTAAATTACTCACAAGAAGCAACATCATTTAATAATACAATAGACACGACCTCCACACTATACAGTCCTGGGAATTAGAGAGAGGGAGTGGCCAATTTATTCAACAGGTTGTGCATTCCCACAGTGTGAGCCCCAGCTCAGCTTTTCTTATTTGAAGGCATGAGGTGGCATCTGCACAGCCATTCAAGTCATGCAGCAACAGATGCAGCTTCCAAAGACAACAGCTGGAGAGAAATCAACATCAAGGTTCCAGAAAGAAATATAGAAGAAAGCTGAAGTTCTTTGCATGCCATGCTTTTATCCCCACTTCCCTGCCAATTCCAGAGGCCCAAAGTTCCAATGAGTGCCTGCACTCTTGTCAGCAGGAAAGCCAATTCCATTCTCTAGGGCTTACTGGCACTAAGGCTCCAATACCCTGCAGCCAAAACCCAGTGCTCCTCATTAACGTGGCAGGATGGGGTTGGAAACAGCTCTGCACTTGGGAATCGCCCTTTGCCTCTTACCAAAGGGATTTGGGAAGCATTGCACACATAACCTCACTCTTTCCAAAGAACTGTTCAAGAATTATGAAGATATTAAATCAGCTGCCATAAGGAATAGTCAGCTGAAATAGGAAGGAACAATCAAGATCATGGTCATCTCTTTCTGCTTTCCATTTCAAGTTTTGTGCCAAGCAGAAAAAGCCCAAACAATCCATTACATTCCTTATGAGCTTTCATTGCCGTTGTTTACACAAAGTAGTCTTGTTAAAACTCAGCCATTCTTGACAATCCTTAAGCTACCTGAGCTTCAATTCTTGAGGAAAGAGCTGTGATGTTCCACTTGCTTTTGTTGATTTTAGTTGTATAGCAGAAGTACACAAAGAAGTGTAATAGTGGTAACAAAACTGGACAGAAATACCAATTGTCACAGTATGTTCAACACAACTTGGAAGAACAGCTTTGCTGTGAGCATTTCATTTCCAAAAGTGCATTTGCTCTCATGGCACTGTCCACATGAAAGCTTCAGCCTAAGCCTCAACTTGAAACACAGAACAGATTTTTCCTTCACCAGCTGGGCAGAATTTGGGAACTGGCTCCTGAAGAAAGCTGCTGATGTGTTTATAGATTCAAGCAGGAATCCTTCCAAAGACATCCCAAGGTTAGCAGGTACCGTGTGTATGTCTAGAAGAAATGTGGAAAGACCATCTCAAAGCCCCTGTCTCTACAAGCACACCACCACTTGCAAGAGGCATCCGCACACTCCAAACCTGCCTCCAGGCTGAGCCCAACTTGTCATTTGCAAGGTCAACCTCCAAAAGGGACAACCCACAGATTAAACCAAGCAACAGAACTCTGCCCTACTGGGTGTGTCCCTGTCATCAGAAATCAAGTGTTCTTTATGCATTTCTGTTTAGCTTTTCAATGTTGTTTCCAGTCTGTACCACTCTCACAACTTTTGAAGAATGAAATTCTGCAGCTAGGATGGAGAGGAAATTCCCAGTCCAGCTGAAAGCAGAACTCCAGGAAACCACAGTCCAGGTTTTGTAGCTTTTGCAGTTTCCATGAAAAGGCTGAGTTCAATGAACAACCATGGAATCACTGAGATTTGATCCACAGGTTTCAGTAAACTAGTCTGCAATAAATGTGTGACAGATTTCTGCCTTCAGCATGCAGTCTTGAAAATCTGCTGATGGAAAAAGTGCTGTCTCAGTCAACACTTGTCATTTTACTTGAAATCAGAGGGAAAGAAAAACATCCATTCCCTTTGGCTTCTAGTGTCTGGCTCTTCCTTTTAACCAGTTTCTCCCAACAGCAATCTATTTCACATGTCTTTGTTCTCGAGTGGTTTTGCACTACTTAGAGGGAGAATTTCTAAAAATCAATGTACTTTTAATAAAGGTTCCAGCAGCACAGTTTCTGGGCTTTGCTGTTGTCTTTTAAACCAAGAGTTACAATATAATGTAATGGCAGAAAAAAAAAAGTCTTGACTTATCATTACCATACAGCAGGGATAATGGTAGAGCAGTCATGTACAGCAGTACCTTCGTGTATCCAGTCCCCACTTTAAAGCTCCCTTTTCACAAGGTGCAAGAGCACAATTAAATATTTCACAACACAGTCAAAGAAGGATTTTCCCATAAGATAAGCCACCAAAACTGGAATTTGAGAGAAGTACAATTGGCAAGAAGAAAAGCACAAAGCCTTTGCCTAACAGAGCTGAAGGTTTGGAATTTTGACACCAGACAAAAACCTCCACTGTAGAGACTGTGAGTAAGGAAAATCAGTGCTTGCATGGCTTCTAGCCTGTGGGGATGTGGGGACAGCTGTGACCACCCCGTGGATACTCCAATCTTGGAGAGTATAAAGGTGGTACTTCCAGACAGTCTTGCGGATCCCCTCCACAGAGAAGACCAAGGGTTAAGAAGGACTGGCTGGACAGCAGAGAGTCCATGTGGTGATGATATCTCCCCACTTAAAGTCTCTCTCTTCCCCTCACCCTGCCTCTCTTCTCTCATTTCTTTCTATCTCCTTAGTTTGCATTTCCTCTTCAATAACATTTTTACTATTGACTGTGGAAAAGAGTTATGCTTGCACCTTAGTTTGGGCAGAAGCTTCTCTTAATAAGGAAATCTTTACACCACAGTTATCCACACAGGAGTCAGGAAAACCAGCACATCAATACCTTCATCGAAATCCAAGCGGTGCCACTGCTTCAGCCTCCCCAATTCATTTTTCTCCCCGTTTGAATTGGGGATCTCCTTCTGCTCCCTGGCAGGTGCTGGGACCCTGGAACTCTGAAATTTCTCTGTTGCTTGCACCACTTGGGTGCAGGGGGAAACGGAGCTGGAACTTGGAGACGTGTCCAAAGGGAAAAGAGATGTGGAAGGCAGAAGGAAGGAAGACAAGTGGCCACCAGCTGCTGGCTGGACATGACTGGGCTGGTGGCCAATTCTCCTCTTCTTGCTCATCACAGGACTGGTAAAGTCAGAAGCCAGAGGCCGTTTCTGCATCAATAACAAAATAATTCATTCATTAACCTATGATCAGGGTCAGCTTTTGCTCCCATTCTGAAAAAGCAGCATTTCTGAACTGGGCCAGCTTGAACACATATCTTTCTCTTTTTTACTAAAAAGAGCATTCAAACCAGGAAGTACTGCAGGTGAATACAGGCTCTGTCTCATTCCTACTTCCCCATTTTAGCACTCCGCAAGTCCTACTTCAAGTCTGTAGCTAAAATGCTTTGGGAGAAACACATTCCCTTCAGGAGCTCCATCAAAGGCTTCCCCAAAAGGGAAGGTTCTGCAATTTCACATGACAATTTTACACCATCAGCAAATCAGCTAAAATTTACCAGAGAGTCCAGCATGTTAAAAATGCACAAAATACCTGAGCAGGTCTTGCTGGAGCATCTCTCCCAAAAGGTCCCAGAGATGTCACTTGACTGATGTTGGAGGTGTTCTGAGATGGAGTTGGTTTTCTGTATGGAAGATCCAATATTTCATGTTACAAGGCCTAAATATCAACTGTCAAAATTCGTTCCTTGCAGGGAAGATAGACCTTCAGCGACAGGACACAAGGAAATAGCATGAAGCTGAGTTGGGGGAGCTTTAGGCAACATATCAGGAAAATGTTCTGCCCCAGAGGGTGATGGAGCCCTGCAACAGGCTGCCAAGGCCTGTGGTCACTGCAAGAGGCTTCAAGAAGTGTTTGGACAACACTCTTGGGCATCTACTGTGATTCTCGGGGTGACCTGTGCAAGGCCAGGATCCTGGCAGGTCCCTGCTACCTCAGCATGTTCTAACAATCTAAGCTTCTTTTCCCAGGGATTTTTTTTCCTTGCTCTGAAAGACTGAACTTACCCAGAAAGTATTAGCTTCAAATTCTGTCTGTCTATTTCAGTGTAGCCAGGCCAATCAGTCTGAAGGGTTTGAAATAGATGTTCCTTCAGACTGAAGGAATTATCCTTTGCATTCCACTTGGCTACCTACAGGCAGACATGTAGGAAAACACATCTTTATTATGCTTGCTGCATGCAAACTACAGAAATAGGACTGGTCCTGAACAGCTGCTTGTGAGCACCCAGCTTCAACTAATTAATGTGTATTTGTACAGAGCTTGATTATTCCTCTATCACATGAGTTTTCAGCCATATTAATGTTTCACCAATTGGAAACAACCCAGTATCTCCATTCATATCTAGCAAGAGTTCCTTTGAAAACAACATTGAGAGCTACAATGTGTAAGGAGAGGGGGTCAGGCCCAGAGTCCCTCTTTATGTGGCCGATCCAGGGTTCATTCCAGCAAAGTTCTGCCATGAGAAGGCCGTGCACATGCCTTGCTGTATTCCTTTGCAAAGAAATGAAGTTCATATCTTCCTCAAGACAAATACAGAGTCTACTCACAAAGGTAAGTTGAGGTAGTAAAACCTCAAGACCACTGATATCTAAAGTTATGACTTCATCACCTGACACCTGCTCAGAGTTCCACAGAAAAGCCCATTGGGAAGGTCTCCATCAATTTGACCCCTGCAACACACGGAATAACTCATCTAACACACCACCAACATCTGTCACAACTTTGACTTTTCTTTTCTCCTGGAAAACATGAAAAACATTGATAATTTGGGCCTGTGTTGATGCCTGTCTGCCCGCAGCTGAATAAGAAATGTAAAAGTGACAATGATACCCAGAATCAGGGATTCACTCCTTGGAAACAGAACTCAGGTTGTGTTGGAAGTGTGTAGACACACAGTGTGTGTGTACCAGATCTCAGCAAGCTCACACTGCCCATTTGAGATTTATACCAAAGAAACCCCCACTTGCTCTGATGTCCACAAAAGCCTGAGCAAGGCATTTCAGGCTGCAGGGCTGCTCACACAGAATTTTCAGAATGCAAACCTGGACCCTGAGGCATTTCACCCCTCCTCCAGCACCTTGACTCCAAGGAAATCTCAAAGATTGCAATGGAACAGGAGAAAATGTTTCCATCCATTACCTTCTAGGGAGCTGAGCTTTGAAAATTTATAATCAACTTGAAATCTAAATGGGCTAATTCGGCTGGGATGGCAGAACATGGCTCTCATTATATTGTGAATATCTTCAGGGTGAAAAAGCCCTGCCATTGCCCTGGGCAAACTCAGCAAGAAACTTCCCAGGTTCAGGGAATGAGTTCTTAAAAGTCACTGTGGGATCAACTGTATTGAATTTTCCCCCCTTGAGCAGGTTCCAAGACACTGTTTTCCTAACTGAAAAGGAAATGTTCCTGCTTGATGTAATAATGCTGGCATAATGCAGCAACAGCCTAGAGGAGCAGGGAATATTGAAAAAGGAAGGAAAGAACCACTGCATCTTTCAATGCATGTGCATCCTATTGATGGCTGTAAATAAGAAAATAACCATGGAATTGAGAGGAGCACTGGAGAAGTTACCGAATTAAAGAGTTCCAAGGAAGATGGAGATTTAATTCACATGACAGTAAAGAAACACTCCACTCAAAGTTTGGTTACCATCTTTATCAAGGAGGATTTGCCTGGAACACCCTTTCCTGGAAGGCAATCCCCACAGATCCCAGCAGAAGCCAAGTACCATTGAGAGGCCACCAACACCGTTCAAATGAAATACTGCCCCTCTGCAGTTCCTGATCTCCTCTGCTCTGGAACTTCTCCCAGGAAATTTTAAGTGCCATGACAAACCATTTCACACAATCAAGGAAGCCCTGTGAAGTTACTCCATGAAGTTAAACAGTGCACGGAAAGAAAGAGAATGGAATAAGGCATGAGGAGCAACAACTTTACAAAGTGTTACTCATTGAAAGCTATTCCAGGAAAACAACAATGCCCCAAAAGTTTTGAAGTTTTCTTTCTTTTTGTCACATGGACCTGCAGCTTGAGACCTCTGGATGAAGTTGATGGAAAAAATTAACAGGCAGCATTTGCTAACTTGTTCATCTGTATCTAATTTAAAGAGTGGAGGAACAAGCGACAATTAGGAAGAAAAGAATAGCATGGTGGAAATAATTCTGGCACAAACTCCACAATCTCACCTGCTGAAGGATCTTTGCAAGGGTGCCCTTGTCCTTTTGCATGACTCCATCTCTCTGCAAGCGAGCAAGTAACTCTGGCTTCTTGTAAGTCCTCAGAGCAAGTAAATGAATCACCCTGTCCCTGTAGGGTCGCCGATAAACAGCACTGCAAGGATTCTGATCCCTCTCTGCAGGCTTCATGGGCTTTGTTCTCTTATCCTCAGGGGCAGAACACGAAGCATTTGGTTTGGCTCTTCTTCTCACATCTGCTTGTTTTCCCAAAGGAAAGGAAGGCAGAAAAAGAAGTGTCAAATGGGAAGTTGGCAGAAGGCAAAAAGGCTCGTTTTAAAATGATGATGGAAATCTTGGAGACAGAGCCGCACTTGCATATCCTTGTGGATCCCTTGGAACTCACATAGTCTCTGACTCTGTGAAAAAGCCTCACTGGTCCTTTATGGAGCATGTGGTAAAGGCACCCTGTACCCTACCAGCAACCAGACCTGCCTCACCTGAGATTCTCTGTGCCAGCCCAAAGCAGATGTGGCACCAAATTCCAAAATTGACTCTCTAATGCCAGTCCTCACACCCCAGGTATTCAAACTTAAATATTCCCTTAGGATCTATGTAGACCACCACCAAGAATCACACAAATCATCACTCACATGTGAAACAGAACGTCCCCAATGAGAAATTCAGAAGTTGAGTTTTGTCTCTCCAAAAGCCACCATGATGCTGCCTTAAAATGCTGTGCACTAGGCTAAGGCAGAGCAAGAGCTGCACTTGCAGGGGCAGGGATGTCCCTGCAGGCAGGTGACTGCAGCCACAGCCAGGTGAGAGCCTGTTTTGCTCAGGGCAGCTGGCTGGACCTGGCTCAGCTCACTGCTGCAGGCAGCACCACTGAGGGCCTGGAAGGGGAATGTGCACTTCGTGTCTGCCTGGAGCCAGGCTCTTGGGGAAACGGCACTCAGAACAGATTAATACAAATGGCACCTCCTATGCCCAATGTGATTTGAGGTGCTTTGAGGGCAATGTTGGAATCTGTGGGGATATCAATATTTTCCTTTCACTTTCTTTGAAAAGAACCCAGTGTAGTATTGTGGCAAAATTCTGTTGCTAATGACCAAGATAAAAAATTAAATCAAGCATGATTTTCCATATCGACCTTATGAAATTCTACATGCGACTTCCTCAAGGTCATTTTCTTTCAATTTCCCAATTAGATTTAATGGATAATGACAGTGCCTAGGTACTTCAGAACGGAAATCTTAGCGGAAATCAAGTCTGTGAATTTAAGTGCATAAGGTGGTGCAAACTTTGACCTCCATGTTCCAAATTCCAACCCATCAAGCAGTATGGGAACAAGGAAGCACTGGCAGGCTTTCTCAGGGGAAAACAAACCAGTGGCTAAATGCAGTGACAAGAGACTGCAAGGCTGACCTGAGGGCAAACCAGCTCCAGGTTGAGATCTCTGAACACAAGAGATCCCCTGTCCCGAGAATAAGCTCCAAAAATGAGCTACCAAGTTGAAAATCTTACAGGCATTGAGCAAAATATGAAAGGTAACCATACCTCCAAGTGGGTTACACAATTTGACATCCTGCACACTTCCATTGTGCGACGCCCCGCTGGCATGTGGCTAAAATGAGAATGAAATTTTCTGTAAAATCTTCAGCCTACTCTCCATTACTGCTAATTAACTATGCCCGCCATTTTCAACGAGACCTATATTTGCAAAGGTTTGCTATCACATCACCAAAAAGAGCTGCTTTGACACAGTTGTCCCTCTGATAGCAGCCAGCCACAAAAGTGCTCTGAGAGAGCGACCCTCACTTAGCCTCTAATGCAGCCAGGCCTTCAAGTAGCAAGTCATCCTTTCCTAGTTGCTGGAATTTCTAGGCACAGGCTTCCCTTGAAATCAAGTGCCTGTGTACAATGGACCTGGCCAGCTTGACTCAGCTAACACTCCTGGTGACAGTGCTGCACAAAATGATCAAGAACTCAGAGCAGGACCCAGCACTGGGATATATTTGGCACTATGGAAGCACATCACAGGGTCAGCTCTGAGAAGTATTTCATCTGCACAATCTGAATTTCAACTCTCAACACGCATGAAAATCCTTTCTCTTTTCCTCAGCTCTAGAAGCAATTATTTCCATAGATGTGAAATGGAAACAGTTTGTCAGATGTAATGAAATTTGGGTTGCTTGGCTGAATTCATCATTTACTACAGAATATGTCACATTCCATTGGAACTCAAAAAATCACTAAAATGTTTATCAGCCTAAGTACTTTTTTTTTAACAAAAACAACTATTGCCATCCATCTGCTTCAGTCTGGAGGCAAAATTGGCTGAGATAAAATCTAAAAGGCTATGATAAATGGACTGAAAAATGAGAATTAATTAGCATGAGTAGGGGGACATAAATACCAAAAAATATAGAATATTACTTAATGGAACTCTAAATTAGAACTAATGAGGGTTAATTTCTTTGTTTGATAAAAATGTATCAATAAGTGGAAAAGCTTTGAAAATGGTGTACATGTGTTTGGAGTTCTCCACTATGCATCACAGCCAGAAATACAGTTATATATGCTCCTAATAGTAGAAAATACTGTTAGAGAATTTCCTTTATCTGGACCTGTTCTGTGAGTGCAGTACAAACTTGGAACCATGAGAAATCCATGCATTTTGGCCAGGACTCATGACCAGAGTATGAATTCCCTGTGTCACCGTTTGGAGAATATCTGACCTTCACTGGCACCTCCTCAGTGTCATCCGTGAGAGCCACTTGCATCCATGAGAGCAACATCCCAGTTCCACTGGCACCTCCTCCGTGTCATCCCTGTGAGTCGCTTCCCCCGGGCAGCTGCCTCAGAGGGGCCCTTGGAGCACCAGTGGGGCCCCAGCCCTGCCCAACAGGTCCCGCGGGCTCAGCAGCACCTGACACCAACACCATGGCCAAGCCCCCACCCGCTGCCAACCCGCAGAGCCCCACACCTGCCCCTCACCTGTTGCTCCTGGCACCCCTGGGTCACCCTGACGGGCATCGCAGTGCTGGTGGGGGCCCTGCGGGACGCAGTGCGGATTGGGGCCCTGCGGAACTCCCTGGATCCTGCCCAGGCCCGCAGCTCCGCCATCCCGCTCTGCCTCGGCTGCTCCCGCTCCCTCACAGACACTGATCCCGCTGAAAATCTGCACAATGCAAAATACTTATTAGGAAAATGTGGTTTTGGATGTTTAGCTATTGCAGCTTTCAAGGCTCATCAACAAGAAAGGAGATGACTCCCGTGAAACAAGAAGTAGCCAACAAGCTGGAAATGATGGCCAGGCCTTGGAAAGGCAGATGACTTCTTGGCTGAATTGCCTTGTTGAGGTGCAGAGTTTGAAAGGCTTCAGGGGCCTCAGACAGAGGAAAGGTCAGCAAGGCTTGGGAAGAAGGGTGTACCACTGATGGTGGACACAAAGAATGCAGAAATTATGGGCACAAGGACATTTCACAGAACCTCTGAGAAAAGGAACAAACTGATAAAGGCAATGCAGCAAGTGTGCTGAATCAGCTCTGGCAGGGTAAAAGGCCATTCCAGCAGGGCCAGACCATGGCCACCCACTCAAGAAACCACTCACTAAGAAGAAGCAAGAGACTGAGCATGCAGACTAATGAGCATGAGAAGTGAGAGGCTCATTATGGACAGAATGAGGGAACTTGCAGGCAATGAACACTAATTACTTTCTTTGCTCAAATATATAAATACTAAGACGCTCTGGATTCTCGTGGTGCTGGCTTTGTGACTTTGTCCCTGAGTCCCCCTTTCTGCACAGAACTGTAAATAATTACCTCCACTCACTGGGTGGATCGGCCTCTTGAACAACGGGTGCTGGAACCAGCCAAGCTGGAACAACACTCACTGTGCCTCTGACACCTCTGCTCTCGCTCCAGCTGCCAAAGGCTCTAAGCAGTCCTGCCCTGTGACGGTGACAATGGCCACGTGTCCTTGGAAACGGGGAGTTCCATGTGCCAGGCTGGCTGGGATGTCACTGAGGAGCGGGACCTGACACAGTGGGGGCAGAGGGATTTCACAATGGGCACAGGTAGGGAATGCCCTGCCCTGTCCCATCACTGACTCTGCTCATTCCCAAGTGTAGAAAGGGGCACCCCACCAAGCCCAGTAGCTGCAGCTGTGCAAACCAGGGCTAATGAAGTGTTTCTGCACAGAAGTGCTGCACTTGGCTCTCTCTGAGGCAAAGGAGCCGCTGAACACCTCTCACCAGGGCAGCAAGGTGCAGCCCTGACAGCTCTGGGCAATCCTGTCGTGGGCCCCTCAGTCTCTGAGGCTTCCAGCACGTACACGGGCACTCAAATATCATCTCTTTGACACAACCCCCCGACCTTTCCTCATCCCAGCCTCCTCAAAGGAAACAAGCCAGCAGCATGCCCAGGCCCCCTGGCTGCTCTGCAGCAGGAGCTGACATGGAAAGACCAGGGAGGACCATGAACACAATTCCAGGCTGACAGTTGTGCTTACTCCAGGTGGCCATTGAAATTACTGACGCATCTGGAAAAATATTTTATACTCAGCTTTTGATCATTTTACTTTCCCTTTTCCCCATACCCAAGCTTACTCCTGATTTCAGGCAGCTGGCAACAAAGAACCCATTACAGGCAGAGGGAATAAAAGCATGGCATTGAAAATGGCTTGAATATTACCATCCAAAGCTCATTTCCCATGTCACCAAGTCTTGTCTTTGTCTTCAAGACCATGTCCATATCTGCCCATGATTGCTTCCCTGGCTGCCACACTCACAAGGAAAGATCATTTTAGGGACAGAAAGGAAGGAAGCACTTTCCAAAATATCAGAGTCGACATCTGTAAAACAACTGTGTCCCTTTTGGGGAATGACTGGATTGTGATGGTTATGGATCCCCAGTTAGGGACTGTTGGAAAAGCCTTTGTATGAACCATGAAAGGAATCCCATCAGGTGTTATAGCGGACTCCAATATGTTCAACAGCCTTTCCATATCTTAAAAAGACATTGATGACAGCCTCTGCAGTGGAGATACCTGATTTGACTGATCCCTTTGCACTGTTCATACATGAGTGCCTTGGCTTTGCACAGTAACTCCATATTTATCTCAAAGATTGGGAATGCAGGAAAGCACCCTGTGGAAAAGAGCATTATTCTTAGAAGAACATCTAAGAAAACATTGTCTCCAAGGGGTGGCCAGTGCACCTGAGAGCAGGAGCCACCACAGTCCTGATTGATAGAATAGGCATGAAAGTAAATGGGAAAAAAATGTCAGTTTATGTGCCACACATGGGTATGTCTGGTGTAGAGCAAAAAGGAGCTCACTGGTTTTCCTAAAGTAACAGGGGCTACTCCTGGAACAAAAGACGTGGTGCTAAGGACAGCTACTGTCTTGAATCCTGCTGTGCTCCTCAATCCTTCTGCAAGAAATCAGCATCTCCAATCAAACAGGGAAAGCTTTGGGAGCATCCAGTTCCCTGCTGAAGTTGCAATAATGCACTGCAAAGCTCAGCAGTTCAGACAAGCCCAGGAGACTGATGAGCAGACCAAACTGCTAGAGAGGTGGCAGAACAAAGCATCTGCTTGGCAATTCTTTCCAAAGCTGTGAGCCTTTCCAAATCAGACACAGAACACCACAATGAAAACAATCATTCAGCAAAATCCTTAAATGTCTGATTTAGTCCTTAAGTGTCATGCATATCAACAAATCAACAAGTTAGAGTGCCTCAAGCAATAATGACATAAACTAGAGAAGACAAAGAAACCCATTGGGGTCTTGAAGGTACAGGAGACAATTTGGAAAGGCAGTTCCTTAGTGTTAGGCTGACAAGGACGGTGACAACTGAAATGTAAACTCTGCTTATAGATCAATGCACAGTTTTACAAAAGACTGCCCTTAGGGATCCCAAAACAGGGAAGTAGTACCAGATATTAACAACAAGGACAATTTTCTGAGTTAATAAAAAGTACATATAAATACTTATTGGGTTTAGTGGACACATTTTCTGCATGGCCAGAGGCTTTTCCTTGTCCCATCAACAAAGCTAGGGAAATACCTCCAGTCAAAAATCAATAGTACTCTGATTAAGGATTCCTTTTGGAATGCCAGCAGATTAAGATTCTCATTTCATAGCTGAAAGCGTACAAAATTTATGCAAAACACTCGCAGTTAAATGAGACCTACTCTGCCCATGGAGGTCTTATCCCAGCATCAAGACTGAGAGAAAAAATCAGAGTTGAAAGAGAGAAATGAGTAAAATTTTCCAGGAAACATCACTAAAGTGGGCAAAAGTGCTTCCCCTGCCACTGCTGAGATCAGAATTCCAGTGGCTTTTAAAGAAAAAGTCATCCCACGTGAAACACTCTATGGAAGACCTTACCATGATCCTATCCCATCCAGATAGAGGCAGTCATGTGATAGGAAATGAGAATCGAAGTCCTTTCTTACCATCTTTGTGAAAAGTGCTCTCATCTCTGCAGAAACTTTGGGTATGAGCATCCCTGATGACTTTGGATGCCCTGGTACATCCTCATCAACCTGGGGACAGTGTCTATGTCAGAAAGTACTGCAAGGAGGCACTTAAAGAAAAGTGGAAAGGACCATTTGAAGTGTTCCCAAGCACTCCTGCAGCAATAAAAGAGGATGGGACCAGGACATTGATACACCTGCCCCCTAGGGAAGCCAGCCCCAACACACAGGGAACTGAAGGGGAAAATAGAAACAGCCAAGAACATGAAGATTAGACGTGTAAAAGCATGGAAATATAACTTTTTTATGATGTGTAGAATTAGTTAGAAGAAATTCCATAAAAGGAAAGATCAATCATGAAGGGGTCACCATGAAAAATCCTCATTCTCAGCTCACCCTTTGGCCAGCAGCACTCTTGCTTGCTCTGTCAACCAGCAGCAGCCCCCAGGCCAACTGGGGGCTCCCTCTCAGGGTCTCTTGCTGGTCAGAGTGACCACAGGAAAAGGTAGAAAGTCTCTTTTCCCTGCCCAGCAGTTGAAGAAGGAGACAGAGCTCCTCATTTCTCATTCTCAAGGTTGTTTATTGTATCTTATCTATAAAATTCTTTCTCCTGTCCTGCCGAGGTCCACTCAGCAAGACAGTCCAAGGCACTCTGCCCACACCTGGGCAGTCTTCAAGATGCGGTGCAGGCGGGACATGTCCAGGCCAGCAGGCCAGCAGTCCGTGAGGCCAGCGGGGCTGCTATCGCCGCCTGACTGTCGAGCCCGGTGCAGGAGGGAGCATGGGATCAGCCGGGCGACGGAGTGAAACCTGAGTCACTGCCAGGGGGCGTGCAGGTTCCGTCGGCCGTCGTACTACCATGGCCTGGGTCGGTTCACTCTGCGGCATGGGCGAGACACGTATGGGCCAGCAGGCAAGCACGCTGTGAGGCCAGTGGGGCTGCTATCGACACCTAACTATTGGGCCCGGCACCGGACACTGGGCACTGGATCGGCCAGGTGACGCAGTGGAGACTGAGTCGCCGCTAGGCGGAGCGCGGGTTCTGTCAGCCGTCGTACTACCGTGGCCCAGGTCGGGTGAATGTGCAGCGTGGGCAGGACGCGTCTGGGCGGGCCAGCAGGCCAGATCCCCTGTGAGGGCAGCGGGGCCACTATCGCCACCTGACTGTCGGGCCCGGCTCCGGAGGGGGCACGGGATCGGCCGGGCGACAGAGTGAAGCCTGAATCGCTGCCAGGCAGAGCACGGGTTCCGTCGGCCATCGTACTACCGTGGCCCAGGTCAGTTCACTCTGCGGTGCAGGCGGGATGCGTCCGGGCAGGCCGCCCAGCACCCCTTGAAGTCAACGGGGCCACTACTGCCACCTGACTGTCGGGCCCGGCACCGGAGGGGGCACTGAATCGGCCGGGCGACGCTGTGAAGACTGAGTCTTCATGGAACCCATGCAGAGCACGGCTTCCATTGGCTGTTGTCCTACCGTGGCCCGGGTCAGTTCACTCTGTGGTGCGGGCGGGACAAGTACGGGCCAGCAGGCCAGCAGCCCGTGAGTCCAGCGGGGCTGCTATCACCACCTGACTGTCGGGCCCGGTGCCAGAGGGGGCACGGGATCGGCAGGGCGATGGAATGAAGACTGAGTCGCTGCCAGG